ACTCCACCCCTCGCAGGCATTACACTTGACTGAGGTATAGTTGTGGTGTAGTCGTCTCTGGCATACATTGCAGGTGTAGGTTTCTGGCCCTGGGTTTGACTCGATGCCAGCCCTGATCAGAAGAATAATCGCGCGATTTTTCATTTTCATAAGGAAAAGTGAATTATTACGAAATACTAATACAGTGGCAGCACTATAGCTATTTTGGAATCTCGCGTTTCAGCTCGCAAAGATTGTCATCTTCTTTTTAATAACAAAATAATCTATCTTAGGTTGATAAAACTATGTGTTTCTTTAATAAATAAGTTAAATTATATATTTTAATAGTGTTTAAAAAGTGAGAACAGGTGATTTAGTGAATCTTTGTCGGTGTAATTGCCCATAGAAAACAACGAAATTTAACAAAAGTTTTTTGTTCATAACTTTTAAATGGTTAATAATATTAGCCCCCCCTTCGGATTGTTATTAGGGGGGCCGAAACGCGTCGTTTGGTACCCCTCCCGACTTTTCCGCACCTTTTTTAGGGGTTGTTACCCCACCCTAGAGAATTACCATATCTTATTTCATTTCATTGCGAATATACTATAAAAAAAGTAAATTTTGTTCAGAAGAAAATATGAAATTTTGTATTTTTCCCCCAAATAGGGATTCATTTCTTCCCGTTTTTCTTCTTATTCTACTGAGCTAAGGCAGTGTCAAATCGAGCTGTCACAACTGATTCCGCCTTGTATTAGGTTCTTTCCCGTACGCAACGCGGGATCCCGCGGGTGCCCAAAATAGCCCAGAAATCATTCCCGTACTCAACAAAATTGGTAATAGAGAGCGAAAATTGGAACGTATTGGATCGTGTCTTCTTTTTCCTGCCCAAAACAGCCCGGACTTTTTCTCCGCGTAAAAACGGATAGCGTCAAAGTGTATATCAGCTGTTTTGTGTTAACATGTTGCCCGTTTCTAGTGCTGTGCTGAGTCAATAGTTTTAAGTATTGATCGATATTCGGTACCGATTTGAAAAGTACCCCATACTCTCGATACTCGGTACCGAAACATTTAGGTTTCGAATAAACAGGCCAAAAATAGGAAAAAAACAGTTCAGGGGAGACTCGCCTATAAAAACCCAAATGTAGGAGCCAATAGAGCTTTTAATACGGATACAAATGAAAGATGTATATATGTCGGTTCGAGGCCATAATGCAGAGAAACTCTTACTTGTTTGAAGCACTTTTGTTCCAGCTGAATCGGACGATATCATTTTTGTAGGCCTGGGGGCAGATTCTGTAACCAGTTAGCGACAATTTTCGAATCGGCATCAGTTTTGTTGACGTATGATATGAAATACTTTTACGTCAACAAGTGCGATATCGTTCCGAAACTTGTCGCTAACTGGTTACAGAATCTCCCCCCTGAAAGCCTTCTTCATCCGTAAAAGCATTTTTCTTGAACCTTGGATCAACTAAGATTAAAACTCATAAAATAATATTGCTCTGTTGCGATAAGTTCAAGTGTTTAGGCGATATCATATAAATTAGTAATTCAAGTTTTTTCTAAACTTGAAATGCATTTAATGGCGAGGGTTTAATGTAAAGAATCGGTATCGGGTACCGAAAAGTACTGGTGACCGATATCTCTTTTAAGTTTTGAGTACCGAAAATTCAGCACATCACTAGCTGTTTCACAAATTCTGGGCATGAAATGTGATTTTTTGCGTTCCCGTACTTCTGGATTATGTTCCATTTTTGAGCAAACTTTTCGCTTAGTTTCTAATAACCGGATCCGGTCCGGATTGTTAGGGAAAGAACCTATTATTGTATCATGCGGTTGCATAGCTCATGATACGAATTTCACTTTGGATCTTCGATAACCAGCTAAGATCGAAAATCGAATGCAACTGATAATAAGGGGCAGTCTTTTATTTCTAAACAGCACTTGGAGAAAATGTCTAACTTGCGCAACCTAGTTGAAAACTAGCATCTAACCTTGGTTGCGCACATTTGGAATTACAATCTACTAAGGTTTAGAAATAAAAGAGACTGATGCTTTGTATTTTGAACTTTTAGAATGCAGCCTATATTGTAATAACACGATAGGTGATACTAGAGAAGCACACAATTTAAGTTATGGCATTGGTTCACTTTCACACGAACTCGTTTAGTCATAATAACGCTTCATAGCCCTATACTTCTTCAGAGAATAAAGAGCCTCCACTTCCTTAGCTACATATCGTCCATGTGCTACTAAAGCCATTATCTTCTTCGGGTCCGCTTCATACTTATTCTTCAGAAAAGCATCGCGTATCTGCTGCCTGATTTTTTCTGGTCCATTTGGGCCGGGAAATTCCCTACCCAAGTACTGCAGCTACACAAATGAGAAGTTTATGTATATTTGTTTATCGGATTACATTATCTACTTATCTACATGCTTGTATAGCCCAACTACTTTCGATTTTAACTCAGATGACATTACCAACTAAAATCCAAGTGTATTAACTTCTACACTAGATATTCATACTGATTGAACGACACGATTACCGAGTGCAGAATATCGATACTTTTCATGAGCACTGAGTAGCAGTGTTGCCGCGCCGTCTCAAGAAAATGTATCCCTGACCAAGCCAAAAATGTATCCAAATGTATCCAATTTTCTTTTTTTACATAAACATCTCATAATTTGTAAGAAAACCAAACATTTTCATGAAAAAGACATAATTTAACTCATCCTGAGGACTTGGAATACATGTGCATAAAATCAAACATTTGTAATTTCAATTTATAAAGTACATTTTTTGTGTATAAGTAATTTGCAAAGTAAATATAATAAATAGCAAGTACACTCTAAAAAGAGCATGTAAAACTACTACTGAAAAGTATCTATTTTTCACCAAGAATCTGCATAAATATACGTATAGGATGTTCAGTATTTGATTTTGAACTTGAGATCTTTAAAATATACACATAAATACACATATATAGAATGTTTAAAATTGCAAAAATTTTCAAACTACAAATACATTTCCTACTAATAATAAACATTACTTTATTTTAAACATTTTAGGTGTAAAAGTAAACAGGCAATGATTAATTTTATTACACTGCGTGCAAATTTGCACACATTAAAAGAGGAATCTGGTTACCTCTCTCAATATGCGCAAATAAACAAAACTTTTTTAGAGTGTATTTAAAGCCTTTTCAGTAAAATTCATAAAAGTTTCCTTAAATAAATCAAATTTAGTTTTCTAAACTACATTGAAATCTTCTTTCTTTTAAATTAACATATGAAAATATGTGATATGAAAGAGATTACTACAGAAAGAGTATAATTTACTTTATATATATCGTCGGTTAAAGTACAAAACCGCGTATCGTCATTCTGCAAAACCGCGTAACTGACGTTTGCTGCCAAAAATTGGATTTGCTCACACAAGCTCTTGGCTCAATCCTTATCCATTCGTCCTGAAATATACTAGACAGAAATGCGATTGCTTTATAAAAAAGAGAACCATTTTGAAATATAAGTGTTTTTACTCTCTAGAAAATAATTTATGCAACGTCCCGTACGAGGTTTTGCATTATCTTGATACGCGGTTTTGCATTTTGTTGATACGCGGTTTTGTACTTTAAACGACGATATGTTTATTAAGATCTTGCTTAAAGCATCCTTTTAAGCTAATTAAAGCAATTGCGCTTATACCTATTTTGGTGAGATCTCTTCATATGTTCATTGCTTCGTTCGCAAAAAATAAAATGCTTTAATTTCACGCTTAAGTAGCAATTCTTTATACGTTTATAAAACGTAATGCTTTCTACCATCTTTAATGAAAATCGATTTTTGAACGAAAAAAACTTTATAGGAAATATAAAATTTTGGCCTATTTAAAAAAGTATCCACATTTATACTGACCGGAAAAAATAAGTATCCCGCAAAATTTCGTCTAAAAATGTATTCAATGGTATCTATTTAAATTCAACCGGCATCCCTGCTGAGTTGTATCGAGAACTCGATACTTTTTCACAAGTCCTGAGTAAATATAGCGAATGCCGAAAGGTATCGACGAGTTAAGAACATTTTTAAGTATTTTTTTTTTTAAATTATACCATGTTCTGATCGACAACGAAAACACTTTGAAAACGTGTTTTGGGATTGAGGGCTGAAGACTGTTCACTCCGGCTGTTAGTGTTTTCGTTGACATTTCTTACATCCTCTGATTACAGTTCTGCAACACATAAACAAAAACAAAATAGGGTGCTTTCCAAAACGTCAAAATACAAAGTATCAGTCTCTTTTATTTCTAAACCACACTAGAAGAAAAAGCCTAACTTGCGCAACTTAGTAGAAAACTAGCATCTAACCGTGGTTGCGCACATTTGGCATTCAAATCTACTGAGGTCTAGAAATAAAAGATACTGATGTTTTGTATTTTGACGTTTTGGAATTCACCCATACTTTTCCCTCATTTTCTTTTCATTTGCAACCTCTTACTTTCATTCTTATTTTACTTTTACCAGCCAATTAACAATAAATCCGAAATGGCGTATTAAATTTGATAAAATATGACTTCCACTTCGATAGATAATCGAAAAAAACTAGTAAAGACACTGATTGGAATGAGTGGAACGTGAGTTTTCAAGTAGTTTTCAGCGAAAACTGGTTTTCGTTTGAAAGATTTTACATGGACGAAAACACAAGTGTTAAGTCAAAAACCAGTTTTAGCAACGAAAACATGTTTTCGATGTCGGTCAGAACATGGTATTACCCAATAAATATTGTGGCGAACGTTCGAAGGAACACATCAAGATAACCAACTGTTCAGCTATGGGAAAACTAAAAATGCATACCGATAGTACTTTTTACGCTTATTTCAACTATACAAATATTATTTGCCGCAATTAAAAAGTAAAGCAGTGTTTGCATTGTTCAACTTTGCGTTCAACAATTGCGTTCAACTCAACGCAGGGTTGCACGAAAAAAAAGTTGAATGGCTAAATGTTGGCTGGCGACCAACTTTGTTGAAAGCGATTAGTTGAAAGGCCATTCAACCAAAAGTTGAATGCAAAGTTGAACAATGCAAACACCTTTTTATGGCGAATATTTTGATATTTTTTCATATTTTGATATTTTTAGCCATTCAACTTTTTTTTCGTGCAACCCTGCGCCGAGTTGAACGCAAATGTTGAACGCAAAGTTGAACAATGCAAACACACTTTAAAGGAGATATAAAAGGTTAATATTTTCTAAACTACGTCACCGATTAAAAAAGTAATGATATCAAAATAAAGGCAATTAACCTATCTTTAAGTTGATATATAATATGTGTTTGCTTGCTTATATATTTAAGCCAAAAATATTAAAAAACGAATAAAATGTTATAATTTTTTCATAAAATAACCTTTTTTAGAAAAGAGTGCATAATCAATGCTAAATACATATATATTATTTAGAGAGTGCAAGTTCTTACCTTTTATTTGATATACATATTTTATTATGATCTACTTTTGAGGTTTAAGAATTCAGAACTTCTTTCTTCGGCCGCACTTAGGGGTTATAACCCTTACCAAATAGAATTCTCCGTTTGGTGTGCACCAACTGGGGTTACCATCCCGGTGATGTAGCCTTGGGAAAGATGAGGTAATTCAGCGTACATGCATAATTGGTTAGGTATGTATGTGTTTATATGTATGTATGCAGATATTTAAATGCCGGTTTGCTATTCGCGCGACAAGCTTTTTTTAAAAACGAAGTAAATTAGTACAAATTGTTAGTAATTTTCATTAGAGTTTGAATAACTCCTTTCACTAAACGGCTTTTAGTAACTTTAACGAGACCTTAACTTGTTTTATTTTATTCATTTTAGTGCAGTTTTGACAAAATTTTCTTGCTAAAAAATCTTTTGTTTCACTACTTTATTTTATTCCTTTGATTAAACATGTTAAATAAAAGCTTATTTTTAAAAAAAATTTTTTTTTACATTACTTTATATATACATACATGCAAACATACTGGTCTCCCCTCTCACTGAGTTATTCAGTGGGTTAGAGGTGCCACGCTCACTTGCCTTTCGCCCACCGCCCCTTTGACGAACGGCCAATTAATATTACAATAATTAACTACAATATGCATTTGCACATACATGCATTTATATTTTTTACTATCACTAAATTCTGAAAACGCAAAAGGAAATCATAATATAATATGTATATCAAATTAAAGGTAAAAACTTGCACTTTATAAATAATATAATTTTTTTTAGCACTGATTATGGACTTTTTCTAAAAAAAAGGTTATTTTATGAAAAAATTATGTCATTTTTTGTTTTATAACATTTTTGGCTTAAATATATAAAAAGGCATACACATTTTATATATCAGCTTGAAGATAAATTAATTGTCTTTATTTTGACATCATAACCTTTTGAATCGGTTACGCAGTTTAGAAAATATTATTATTTTAAAATATCACAATTTTTTTGTTTTACATTTTATATCTACTTTACTTTTTAATTGCGGCAAATAATATTTATATAGGTTAAATTAGCGTAAAAAGTACTATCAATCTGCATTTTTAGTTTTTCTATAGCTGAACGGTTGGTTATCTTGATGTATGCCACTCAAAAAACCGAAGACCCGAGAAACACGCCTTTAAAGTTTTTAATTTACATATCGTCACCCTCATGCCAGAAGCATGAATGTGCAAATTTATCAGTTTTGAGTTATTGGGTTGACTTGGTTAATCTTTGGATTTTCTATGTTATACCTTAACCCAGGGCATGAATCACGTATGACGACAATCATCTGGACGATATCGTGCTGAGATTGTCTTGTTTCATGAAAACCAAAAATTGCTGGATCGTTTGTGCAATATCGTTCACTCATTTCCAGTTTTGCTTCACGTAACAGTAACAGTAGCACGTAACAGCATGAACCAGTGTTTTGACGACATCGTTTTGTCAGTATCGTTTGAACGACAATCGCTTCAAAGTTACACGGAAAGTAAATATTTTAAAATTTCAATTGCATAAATGTAGAGCTGTGTCAAAAAAAACTTTCAAACTTGATTTCCCAAAATTTTCATTTTTACACATTCATGTTTATGGCATATGGGCGATATGTATACTCCCATACTAATAATGGCATACCTAAAGAATACGGACCCTTGAGCTAGAGAAAAAAGAAAACGTGGACGTGGTGCACCCCTTTCTGCTGAGTTTAATCAAGAATGATAGAATACAAGATTGCGCCGTCCTGGGCGTTGACATTTGTGTACCACAAGTAAACAAAGAATAGAGCGAAAAGAAGAACGAGTTGAAACTGCAAAAGCAGTTCACTTTACAGCGCAAAACGTGTTTTAATTTTGCTAAATGTGTAAATATTGCATTTTTCACCTAATCTATTAGAGAACAGTGAACATTTTAGTGCACTCCATTGCTTTGCAATTGAGGCTGATTCAGCAAACGTTTTAGTGCACTCCATTGCTTTGCAATTAAGGCTGCTGCAGCATCTCTGCGGGATTGATTAGTTAACTTGCTAATGGAGGCTGCGTGGAGCAGAAACAAAATCATTGTGAGGAAATGCTGTTAA